TCCCAGAGCAAATATTATAACCTTCGTCGTAGGGATTGGAGGTGTACCATTGGTGACCTAGTTATGAAGCGGGAGCATACCCTGTCTTCCGCCGCCGATCATGTAGCGGCGAAACTTGCTCCTAAGTTTTCCGGCCCCTACACCGTCACTAAAGTAATTTCACCAGTAGTTTACAACCTGAGGGATGCCGCCGGTAAGCGAATCAACAAAGTTCATATCAAGGACCTAAAACCCGCATCGGAACGCGTTGATTAAGCGTTTTGTTTTGTTTTTTTTTTTCTCATAGCCAGGGAACAACCGTCCGTGTCCATTAAGACGTCAACCCTGAAATCCGTTTAGGTAACCATTCCCGTTTCCGTTATTGCTTCCATTCCCATTGTTTGTATTGAATTACCGTTTTTCAACATTTGCAAGAGCCCTCGTAGTTTAAAACTTTTCAATATCACAATAATGTAAATCGTCTTGTAAAATTGCAATTCTAGTAGGTTTTATCAGTAAGCTGATCAATTAACTTTTTTTTGCAATAACAATTTATTTCCTCTAGGTGGGGCTACCGCCCCACTCCGGCAAAAGTACGATTTCTGATAAAACTAAATGTTTGCGATGAAGGAGCCCTCTTTTCCTTCTGCTACGCCGTCAGTTCGCTAGTAAAAGTTGTTTTGCTGAAGTGCCGTTTTTACCGTAAAGCGATTTTTGTGAAGAAGTTAATTAAGGTAGGCCTTTTTATTTAAAATTCTATCTAATAATTCTCCCTGTAACATTCACTTCCGTACTATTAATTACCTGAGCTATTCGACCGATATTTTTGATTTCTTATTACCTGTCAGGGTAACGAATTGTATTTAAATCCGGGGAGTTAGTGCCCTTCAACCATTTTCGTGTTAACCAAGGAATGAGAGTGGTATTCGCTTGCTATCCCTGTCGAGAGTCGCAGCTGTTTCTGTTTTGTAGAAGCTATGGATTGCCAGATGTCTACATAAGAGAAATTTGAAACCGAATAAATAAAATAAAAATTCACAAAGTATTGGTCGAATAATACCGCTTTAAGACACCCGTTATTTGGTCTATTGTGCCTAGTAAAATAATATTGCGGGGAGGATATTAGGCGTCGTTCTTACAAAGGCATCCGTCATTTTTTTTTTCTCTCATGAGTGGAGGGTGATACTGTTCACCACCGTTGGCAGATTACCGATATTTTTTATTACTGAGAGTAGCTTAATAATTTTTTTTTATTTTTAAAACGTATAGTTTGAATCATATTTAGTTTTACTATTGTAGATTTTTTTCTTATGGCTAAAACCGGCCGTTTTCATTAATAGCAAGGAATTTGTGCTAAGGGTGTTAGTGCCCACCGTTTTAATTTTGTTAAAGGGAAAATTGTTATTTTTATTTTCTTATGGGTATAGTATAGGTCATAGTTAATTTTACCGTTATATCATTTTCTGTAAATACCGAGACCTTTTATTTTATCAAAATACATAATTCTGCATTTATTTTATTACCGTTATTAAACATATATATATAAGAGAGTTGATAGTCGTTGCTGACTAGTTAATAATTAAACCAGTAATTTGTGGGTAATGCAGCAAATGAAACATTACTTTTTTAAGTTTATTCCAAACTTTCGGAAATGTTTATTTCCATCATCAGGGAGACTAAAATAAAATAATACCACATATTATGATAAAGTAAGGTAAACATTTTTTTTACTTACATCTTAATTAAGGTTGTTCATTTTGGTGGTATTATTCAGTTTAGTGTAAAGATACAAAATGGACAAGCTGAAGTCAATTACAAAATAATATACACAAAAATAATAACTACGATACTTTAAAACTAAAAAAATATAAATATCGAAAGGTCAATTTGACAATTTGACAAGACAAGTAAAATTTTAAATAAATAACAAGTTATTAGAGGTTAGGAAATAAATGTGGATAATGCTATGTTTACATAACATTAATATTTTTTAAATGTTCAAAGAGTGATTTTTATATTAAATTAGCTCTGTATTATTTAAATTATGAATTTGGTTTGGTTTATTGTCCAAATCCAATAAATAAGAATAAATTTCACTTAAATTGTTAATATCTGTCTTTTTGTTCATAGAATTTGGTTCCTGTGAAATGAAAGCCATCTCCAAGAAAAGTCTTTTATGGTAGTTATTTTCAATGGCTAATATTTTAATTTCGTCATAATTTATATTATGTTGATATTTATTAGCATGTTCAGCCAAAGCACAACGTTCCGGATGCAGTCTGCAATCACTTCTGTGGGAGGAGATTCTACCTGAGATAGGTCTTTGTGTTTGACCAATATAGACTTTATTACATTCTAGACAAGGAATGTTGTATACTACATCTGATAATGATTTTAAGGGGGTTTTCTATGATTCTTTTTTATTAGTAAAGGGATACCTGAGGGGTGGTCCCTCTATGAATTTGGTCAAGATGTAGTGATGGCATTTGCACGACTTTAAAGTCGGTTTTTTAAAATTACTATTTTAACTTGTCTGTTGAATGGTAGTCATACCCAATTTTTGGTTGTTAATCTTCAGCCCCAAATTAAAGAAGAGATTTTTTTATAATAAGATCAATAAGCAATTTTAATTTAACCTAGCTTATATAGGATTGAAATAAAAGTAGAGATAAATAAAGTTTATTTAATTTGATCCATTTAAAGTACGCCAATGATTACCTGTCTCCTGTTTGCCACGATAACAATTTTCTGCCGACCCTAACAATTTTAATATCATCGCAGGCCACTGGAGCAGAAGCGAATTTGAAACTCATTGCTATTGTGTTTTACAGTCGATATTCCAATTTTGGTGGCTATATTCTGGCGTATGTGGGTTATTCCGAATTTAATTATATTATGCCTTACTGTTTTTGCTTGGCGACAAAATATAACTAAATTATTCAACAGTACTACAACATACAAGTTAGATTAAGATGGCAAATGTTTTCGTTTATACTATAATATTTTACCTCCAACACATTAGAAGTCGACAGGTACGGTTTAAGTTTCATTTTCATTGAGCTCATATGAGGTGACACCATAGATATAGAAACCAGAAGATGTAACCACAGTGATAGACAACAATCAGTCACATGCTAAGCTAATGTGGTGGATAAGATTACAGTTGATTTATCACATTGCCAAGTCTACCTAAATTACTTTCTAATAGTTGTCAGCAAATACGAAACCTCTAATGTTCCTGTTATAAAATATTATTAATATTAACTCAATTATTAAGTACGTGTAAGATTGGGTTGAAGCAACTTTTGAAATACTACAAACCAAATATAATCTTTGATAATCAATTATATAAAAAATAAGTACAGTGATAATAAAAATGGCCTAAACGTGGCAACCGCGCTTAGCTGCATCCCATTCATAAATTGTTCATGACTTATGACGCTTTACTATTGTTTTTGTACAAGGTAAAAAAATAGTATCAGTTGTCAAATCGTGTTTATTGTTTTTTATACTTTTTGGACAATATTAAACATTTTCTTCTGCAAATATGGTTAGAAAGTGTGAAGTATGAAAGAATTGTATTATCTAAATAAAAAATGTATTGTTCTACAATTAAAGTAAATTATAGGTTATATTTTTTAATCATTGGCTTATCTTTGCTTATCATTGGCTAATATTTGTATATTTATAAACAAGCATATATTTATTTTTTCTTTTTAAATTACATTTAAAATAGATACTAATAACTGTTTTAAGTTTCCTGCAAATTTTGAGAGAAAAAAAGCTTGCTTTGGTATTTTGGGAATTAATTTGGAACGGGTACTCCCTAAATCTGCAAAAATTTGCTCTAGCCTGTTTGAGGATAGCAATTTCTTATTTACATCAAATGGCCTGAAATATTTAAAAAATGATGCTAGTCCAAAACAAGTTAATCTTCCTAACACCTCAAGGTGATCATATTGTAAATATATCTTATTTTGCACCCTGAAAGTATGTGATTGCATATCAATAAATATTTTTTTCTTTCGTAGCTCTCCATCAGTTTCTAAAGAAGTTGGTATAGACGATGTATCTTATCTCGCAAGTTATAATATTAAATTTCAATTACTAAAAAACATCTTATAGCTGACTATAAAATTAGTATAATAGCTGTGCAGGTATAGTTCTAGATACCTATGTGTCAGAAATATTTATAAATTTTTTTAATAATTGTCTGTTATGTGTGGTTAAAATTTCAATCGGATTATATCCTATCCAGGGCATGCAGCACTACTACAAGTAGTAACGAATCAGATAGTAAACCGTCAACTGCAAGTATCCTACAGGTTAGCCCAATTTCCAAAAGGTATGAAATTTTTTAATCAAGTAGATAATACAAGTATTAAAACTATGTCATGAAATTATGGTAAAATAACTACATTTTTAATTGCAGACCAATAGCTTATCAAATAGAACATGTTATTCAAAAATCTGATTCATCCACAACTTTAACGACCTCTGAAACTGAAAAACATGTAAGTGGGCTTGCACACCAAAGTAGCATGCGACGTGCGACTTGCTGCCAGAAAGCAGGAAGCACGTCGCAACTGGCGTCTTCACGATTTACTTTCATACCAAAGTCGCTTAGTGCGACTTTTTTATCATCAGATTTCTGTTGGCAAATAATAAAATAGTTGTCAAGATGTCGTCGGAAGAAGACAATATTGCTGTGATTGTAAGGAGGAGGAGGAGGAGCAGGAGGAAAAAGAGTAAAAAACTGTGGATTCCTCCGTATTTACGAGATAATGCTGATACACATAGCACGTTCATTGTATCACAGCAGTTACAAGTACATCCTCAAAAATTCCAAAACTACTACAGGATGGAGAAGGAAACATTTAAAACGCTTGTTGATCTAATGATACCATCAATGCAGTTACAGGATACAAATTATCGAAGAGATTACTGTGGAGGAAAGACTACTTATATTTTTGAGGTTATATACGTTATTAAATGCATGAGAATAAAAGGCAAGAAAATACTCAAACATGAATTTATTTTATACTTACAAAATATATACTTTAAAATCGTTAATCGGTCAACGACAAGATAGTGAATGTTTGAGGTGTATTTTAACCCTCATATCCAGAAGAATAATTTGGTGGATAGTTACCTTCGTTGACGAGTATGCTTCCATCGGAGGGAAACGGAGTAAATTAGCGAACGTGAATGTTGCTATATATGTGCGTCGTGTTTTGCCTGTCATTATTAGACACAGAAGTGGAAGCACTCGCTTATGTTGATGTAGTATCTTTTTGTAACATATTGTCTAATGTCTGCAGTACTATTACCTTGAATCTTCGTTTCTTCGATGCGTTTAAAGTAGCAATATCAGGAAGAATGCTTTTAAAAATCTAAGTCTGGGTTTTCAGGTTTTGGTGCACTTTTTTAAGAAAGGTAATTGACGACAGCATGCTCTATTTTATCCTCTGGAGTTTATGGCGGAGCCTTCCTTTTTGGTGAGGATCTACTCGATGTACGTGAAGGTGTACGTGAGAAATTATTATCCGGTAAATCTACTTCCGAATGATGATCAGAGGGGTGTTCTTTAGGACCGGTAGCTCTTGACTCATTGTCATCATCGTCTATACCGTACTGATCAGTTTCAAGTATTTCCTCTTCATCACTCTCAATAGACAAATTGCCCGATTGGGGTCTTGATTTTGTAAAGGGTACCACGAATTGCATTACATCCCATAAATAATATTTCTTTTTTGATTTAGCTGAATCTCCACTTTTTCCAGTACAGTGTTTTATATATCTTGTGAGACTACCTCGTAGTATTTTCCATTTTTTCTTGCATTTAGAAGCTAAAACAAAAAGTATGCTTGTAAATTTTTCTACACCCGTATTATAATAATGCACTTATATGCCCAAAATCCGTTTCATAATGATACCCATTATGATACAGATTTTTCATTATGATACAGATTTTTAATCAATAGAAACCTACAATTTTTCAATCAAGCATGATGTTTGACGTTTGTCCTAAATTCCTATGTAATTGTTTTAGTTGTCAAAACGTATTAAATTTTCGTAGATAGCTAAACTTCGATAATTATAAAATTAAAATGTCTGATATCAGCGATATAGAACACTCCTCCACACATATAGGAGAAAGGAGAAAATGCAGTACAAAATATTTTGCCCCAAAAATCTGTGGTAATACCAGTACCCAAGGTAATACCATTAATTACAATTTTGTAGAATTTTTTATAGAAATACGAGTAATTACTGTTATTGTGTTCAATACCAATATAAATAGAATATTTATAGGTCTTGATTATTTATCGGGTGTAGAAAAAATAGCGTATGCAACTCTCATGTAATGGTTATTAAAACACTCGCATAAACCATACGAAACTCGCCTTTGGCTCGTTTCGTATCCCGGTTAATGCTCGTGTATTAATAACCATCATTACATGATCGTTGCATAATATACTATTATGTTATTAGAATTTTGACATTCTAATTAAGAATATACTATTATCGTACATAATATTGACATTTCAATTTATTAAATATGTTTTCTGTTTCTTTTTTAGGTTCCTAGCAACTGGTATGTCATTTACGGTACTGCACTTTGAATTTTTTGAGGAATTTCAACGATAAGTAACATTATTGCTGATACTGCTCAGAAATTGTGGATAGTCCTCCACCACAATATATGGCATTACCTACAATAAAGCAATGGAAAGAGATTTCTGCGAGATACTATGAACTATGGAATATGCCAAATTGCTTGGGATCCTTAGATGGCAAACACATAAGAATTAAGTGCCCTAAAAATCAGGTTCAGCATATTTTATCTATAAAGGCTATTTTTCAGTAGTTTTAATGGCAAGTGCAGACGCAGATGGTCTATTCACTTTTATAAGTGTTGGTGACTATGAAAGAAATAGTGATGGTCGTGTAGTTAAATCTTCGGGTTTTCTTCGCGCTCTTAGTGAAAATAAATTGAACATTCCACCTTCTGCTGCCTTACCAAATGACGAGAACAATTCCACTTTTCCAATATTTTTTGTAGGAGATGAAGCCTTCCCGCTTAATAACAATATTATGCGACCATACCCCAGAAGAACCCTGACTAACTCTTAAAAGAATATTCAACTACAGAGTTTCGAGGGCTAGAAAAAGTGTTGAGTGTGCATTTGGTATGCTGGTTTCAAAATTTAGAATTTTTGAAACGCAAATTGGCTGCGAACCAGAAAAAGTTGTCCATGTTGTCAAAGCTGCATGTACTTTGCATAATTTCGTTCGGAAACACGATGGTAGGTTTTTGCAATCTAACAATGAACAAGATGTTGACGCTATCTACAATGCCTTACCGGGCTTACAACAAGAGCTTCACGGACGTCAACCAACAACGGCAAGCGATTTAAGGGATAGGTTATGCGCATACTTCGTAAAACCTGAAAACGCTTTGCCATGGCAAAACAATGTTTGTATATAAATACGCAATCCACCGCGTTATTGTTTAATTTTTCTCGATTTTAAATTAATCTGTTCCTTGCAAATCAAGATGGTAATAAATGTTTATTTTTTAAAGTTTTGCTGTGCATAGGTACTCCACTAATAACGGCTGGCTATAAATAATCGGTAAAATATTGATGACAACAACATGTTTTCAAGTCTTCTCGTCTAGTCTTAAAAATCAAATGACTAACGAACGTGAGCTGAACAGCCTTTCGCTTGTTTTTCTTTATTAATTTAACATAACCTAACCTTTTTGGACAGCCATCCAGCAAATTCTGTAAATCGATATTTCGCCGGCCTTTTATTGGCCAGTCGTTACCAGTCGACAAGACAACGATTTTCTTGAGTTAAATAAAAATAACGAACTTACCTGTAGAAAAATATGTCCCAGCAACTTGGTTCCAAGCCTTAAAAATGAATTTATTAATTCGGCCACTAAACAAGTCAAATAACGTCTGCGCGGGTTGGAAGCGCGTGGCAAAGTAGCAAATTATACGACTTGTTTTATATTTGAGTCGCACGTCGGATGTTGCCACGTCGCATTTTTGCGACGCCACTTCGGTGTGAAACCATATATTTATATGTATGGGTTTTAAAACAAGCAGCATGCTTCCTGCTTCCTGGCAGCAAGACGCACGTTGCATGCTACTTTGGTGTGAAAGCCCACTAATGGATCCTTAGATAAAATTATCTAGAATGGATCTTATAAGATACGAACCACATATTTCACAATATACAGCCACGTTTAGAGAAAAAATGTTTACGAATACCCCTGCACATGCTGAAACAGAAAGAAGGGGTTTCTGTTATTTTAAAAAAAATTTAAATTGTTGGTAATCATCCCCATGTTTTAATAAATTTTGACTGCACCCGAAGATAGAAAAGTTTTCCGAAACATATGTAGGACTGTGCTAAACGATAGAAAATAAATACGACCGAATAAACCAAGGACATTTTTATTTATACAAAAAATTATTATATTATGTAATGCAGCAATGGATTTATATTTTCAAAGCAGGAAATATTTTGTTTCATTAATATATAAATCAACAGTTTCTTTTACATGTGTATTGCAGTATAATCTATATTTAATAACATATCCAATACAATTTAATAAAAAAGATTGGACTTACACAATTGAAAAAGAGAATAGGTAACTTAGATAGGTCATTTTAAAAGCAAGTATGTACTTGGTTCACAAGAGGTAGGAAAATAATTTTATAAATACATAAAAGGATAACGAGACGCTATACTAACATTCAAGTTATGTAAATGTGTAAAACACTTGAACAAATCTTTCCTATTAGAACTAAAATAAAGTTGGTTTAAATTGCTCTACATATAAACAAAATCAATATCAATTTTTAATATGTACTATTCAGTTATATTTCATATTTGTAGAGTTGTTCAAAAGCAATTGTTGTTCAAAACAAAGCAATGCATAGCCATGATCTTGCATTGTCATTATTTGTTGTATCCAGTTAGGGGACATTTTAAAAATATTAAATTATTAATTGCATACTTTACTCTTCAGTCTCTAAACGAATTATAGCATTAGAATTGATAAGAACTAAAAGAACTCTTTTCAGGAAATACAGATCAATTCTTTCCAATATATCTAAGTATCCTAATTGAATTATTAAAATACAATCAAAAGCAAGAAATCCTAACAAAAGCAAAAAACATTGCTAAAGGCTCTGGCATCTTTATTTCTCCTGAATTCAGCACCGAAGAATACAAAAAAAGAAAAGTTTTACACAGCCAGCTGAAATTAGTCCGTAGCAAGAACCTGACTGCGACTATAAAAAATAACAAACTGATGGTGAATGGTGGCAGTTACAGCTATGAAGATTTAGAAAATGAAGACATTCTAATAAAACTTAAAACTGAAAATTGTCCCAATAAGGAAAATAGTATAAGCAAGGGAGAAAGGAAACCTTTAGAAAAACCATTAAACATTAAAGAAAAAACAGAGAAGCAAATTGGAAAAAGCGATAGACCAAGACGAAATGTAACTGGAAGACTAAACTTGCATTCTTCATAAGTTTTTTATTTCAACTTTCTTATTGTAACTTATTAAAAAAAAAAAAAATCTGCATGCTTAATGTATATGGCATAAATATTTGTAATTAATTTCTTTATTAAAAACATTTTTAAAAATGAATTACTACATAAATCATTTTAAAGCGTTAGAAGTTAAAACAAAAATTGCTTCAACTACTAACGAAGTAAATGATTATTTGAACTCTGCTTGTTTAAACCTAAAAATATATCACATGAATATAAGAAGTGCAAAGAAAAATCTAGATTCACTATTGGTACAATTGGAACAAATAAAACATGAATTTGATCTAATTGTATTGTCTGAGACGAGACAAATTGATGACATATCTTTATTTAATATAGAAGGATATCAACTGGTATATAATTTTGGTACTTTTAATCTAAATGACGGCGTCCTGGTCTATATTAAAAAAAATATTAATTTTACTGAAAAAATAATACATTTTCCAAATAATATGAATATTACTGAAATTAATCTAAAATTTAATGATAAATTTATTACCATCTCAGCTTTATATAGATCTCCAAATTCGTCAAAATGCGAATTTTTGATAATCTTGATGATTATCTAAATAAATTTGAACAAAAAGTAAGTGCTCATCTAATTTTAGGAGATATTAATATAGATTTAAAATCAGATTCAAATGTAAAAAAATATATATTTAAATTTAACAAGTGCATACGGCTATATTTCATATATAAATGAATACACAAGAGTATGTAATAACTCCAAAACATGTTTAGATCACTGTCTCATTGCTGATGCATCTAATTCTTTTGAATATAACCCTATTGTTATGCATTCAGATATAACTGATCATTTCTCTACAATAATACAAATAATCTCACAAGCTAAGGCAATCCAATTCAATAATAAAACCATAAAATATAAAATATATGTAGATAAAAACAAATTAATTTACAATGCATCTAATGAAAAATGGGAAGACATATATTCAATAAACAATGTTGACACTGCTACTGATAACATAATATTAAAAATCAGAAAAATTATTGAAAATAGCTCTAATAAAATACCACTTAAACGAAATCAAATAAAAAGAAATGCATGGATGACAAACGGTTTACTAAAATCAGCTAATACAAAACAAAAGATTTACAATAAAATGAAAAATAATCCTACTAAAGAGAACATAAATGAGTATAACAGGCACAAAAACATATTTGGCAAATTAGTAGAAAACGCAAAAAGAATGTACTATCAAAAAGATTTGGAAATAAACAAGTCTGATTCTAGTAAACTATGGAGATCCATAAATAACTTAACAAATAAAAAAATATATAAAACTCAAAGTATAAGTGAAATAAAAACTGATAATGATCTAGTTACATCTGACAAA